GATCCACCGGACTGGGGGGTATTATACCGGTACTCGAGTACAGGTACGGATATATTGTTTGTGTGCGGTAGAGGATCCAGGGGAATACCCCTGCTTATGCGTACCACGAAACAGTTGGAGTATCCGCATTAAAGTTTTGCTGGGATAGGTGTTGATCTCGCTCTCCCCTACAGGGTCCAGGGGGTTGGTAGAGGGTAGGAGTCCATCGTCCGGATAGTGGGAACTCGGGTTACCGTGTTACGCTTTTCGCTCGCTGCGGATCAGGTATGATATCTGTGCAGATACGGATAAAGGAGGCTTCCAGTTGCGAACGTAGCATGTCCTCCGTTCCCTCAATCAACCTCCTAGCATCTCGAGTCGGGAGTCTTGGGGAAGGAAAACCTTGCTCTTTGAGATTAGCAGTGGCCCATGCCCGTGTGTACCGTGTTAATCTCTAGATTGGCCTCTATACGAGTACCACGAGCTAGGATTCTGTGTGAGAAAAAGCAACGGTAGGTAGGTATCTTGCGTAAGGCCTACTCGGCCTACTCTTACATACGCGCAAAACTACCCCCTCCCTCAGGCTACCCACAAAAGCGCACGCACGCACAAACAAGCACGAACATAGCGGCAAAGAGACCTGGAAAATGGTTTTATCTTGCGTATGATACTACCCTTGCTTTTTTCCCGCAATGAAACTTCAAAGAGGGGATCATGCGTACAAGTTGGGCCCATAGGGCATCAAGATAATTCTCACAACCCCCCCCCCCCCCCAGGGGCTCGGGGGGCTTCCCTTTCATTACAATTTTTTCCAAAAAACAAATAACTGGGGGAGCGGCCGAAAAAAAAAAAAAAAAAAAAATGTAAAGTTTCAGAACTTTTCCCCGGGCAAGCATGTTGGCTAGTGTCATAAGGTGGGGCACCCGGGGGCCAACCACAACCCTAAAAATACCAGCTATGAAACCCTGGGATGACGGGACGTAAGGGCAGAAATCTAGAGATAAAAAATCTCTGTAGGAACTGTCGTGCCCCAATGAATCCTCCATGCTGGGGGGAAGCAAGAATCGTATCACCGTACCAAACGAATCATCCATTCCGACTATGGAAGGGATATGGCAGTTTGCCAGACAGCGTAGATTATTTCTTCCAACATACAGTACCGTCGCTCCCTTCTGCCCCAGATTTCGCTCCACTAGATTCTTCACTGCTCAGCACTATTTGATATCCAAGAAATATCCCAGATTTTGGGTGTTTTCAGGTTGGATGGAAATTTGAAGATCTCTAACCCCTACTGACATAGAAGACATCTTCACCGCCGTTGGATTTCTACTCTACCCTAGCCTAAAATCTCACATCACAGCTATTCAAAGGCATGCCTGATATAGTACCATGATCAATTCACCTGGCAGGGACATAGGTTCAAACTTGCCTCCTTTTCATCGCCACCTCTCACCGCTAGTAGGTCATCCAACATATAGCGGCTCCCAGATTCCAGGCGATTTTTACTAGTAGACGTTTAGGACTCCAAGAGGGATATCAGGCATCTTGCTCCTAAGTGACGTGCCTGCAGGTAGCACCGTATGGAGGGCTTGGCGATGGGAAGAGAAGGATTCACATACATAGAATACTCCCAATATTACGCTTGTCTGGTATTCCCTTCAGTCAACTCGAACCTACTCCCAAGTATTAATACAGTATGCATGCAACAGGCTCGGCGAAGCCTTGTATTACCAACCCCGAATACCGGTAACCTTTCTTATCCGGGCACATGGAGACCGAAAACTTGCAGTTCACCTGACGCGTTGAATTCCAGCACCACCGTACCTACTAATCATGTAAGTTATGTTAATATGATTAGCTTAACTTTATTCAAACATTCCAAATTTTATTTTATTTTATCCTACTCCAAAAGAGCCGAGTCACTAATTCACATGTTAACATCCTACCCCATGCCAGAATGAACCCGCCTTCCTTGTTTTCGCGGTGTGATAGGAACCAGCAAAAAAGAGACTGGACTTCAATAGGACACACAGAGACGACATGAGAAGAGTGGAAGTGATAACTCACTTCACGCGGCGAAAGATAATATCGCTTACATAGTTGAAAAAAAAAAGAAGCGACGGATAGATAAATGCGATTTATCTCTACGGTCTGTTCCGGCGTGCCGTGAGAGTCTCGCACAGAAGGTAGGCACCGCAGCCCCAAAGACTTGCCGGATTCTCGCAACGTAGGAACGGATTGCGGTTGTTTGACTTTTCTAACCGTGGTATTTTGTCTATCTCTCTCTCTGTCGTCCCCCGCCTGAGACGAATTTCTCTTGTTCAAGTTGGTATAGTGCCAGCACTTTATGTGAATTCCACTATTGCTTCCGTCGTGGAAGGGAGTTTTTTTTCTTTTTTGTTTCTGGACTTTCTGTCTATCTATCATAACTCTAAAAGTCTTGAGGTGAAAGTTGCTAGTAGAGTATATTATAGTATGATATGCAATAGTTTATTCTTGAAGTTAATAATATCACGCTCTAAACTGTATACCTGTACTCTCCAATATTATCTTCTAACCTGTCAAGGCATTACAGTCCATTTTAAAATCTAGAATACTAGCCTATTAAGGGAAAGTGTTAAACGTATAGTCAATCTCAGTACCCGTAAATTGGGGAAGAATCTCTATACAGAAGAATCTTCAAGTTAAGATCAATATACCACCAAATTGGAAGATTAAAAAACTTTTTGTCCACTTGGAAATCAACATGTAGCTTACTTGCTACATGTTTTATAAGATTGGATTGAAACATTATTTAATCAGAGCAGGATACTTACTGTTATAAAATATTATCAAAAAAGAAGATTTTTCTTGGCAATTTACCAACTAATAATATCTGCTCAGCAACTGGCTCAACCTACTATCATAACTTGAAGAAGGTTTTAATCCTTTAAAGTGGCAACAACAGCAGCTTAAAAAGGAATCTGCAATAAGTGAGAGTTAGAAATTAAAACAAGTTAGTAGCAAGTAAATAGCTAAAGTACTATTTTACAAAAAAATAAATGAGCTACCAATCAAGGAACAAGATTATAGGGAATTACTCCTACTACTTCCTCAATTTCAGCCTTTAGATTCTCCATATTTGGAATATAGCTCAAAGGTAGTAGTATCTTTGCTTGAGGAGTTACTCAAGATTGGTATTGGAGCAGCCGGTACCACCCAAGTTGACTCCCAATACTTTCTGCCTTAAATATTGAAAATTTTGAGGCAAAAAAGGTTCTACCTTGGGAGTATTCAAGCAAAGCTGTAGTAGAAGATACCTACTCTTTAGTCTGACAGGATAATAATTCTATTCTATTTATAACAACCTACATAATATTACAAGTACAGTAGGTAGAATCCATTAATGGCCAAAGAAAACAAGCTCCAATGTGCTTATGGTCTAAGGATCTTTGGTGATAATTCTCGAAAGATATTTCCCATCTTTACCTTTATTAATGACTACAAGTATCATGCAAGTACTGTCAACATTGCCAATCAAATATAGAGCTATTACTGTACCCAGTGGAAGGCCTCCTGCAATTGGTATCCATTATTCTATTGGCTTTTGAATACATCTATTGTTAATGCCCATCATCTACTAAAAACCCTCTATCTTTACCATAAGGATAAAAGTCAGCACTACCTATTTCAAGAAAGGTTGGCTAATAAGCTGATTGATGTTGGCTTAGCTGACCGTTTGAAAACGATCGAGCTATTACAGTTTTACTTTATATAGACTACATTTATGCCAGTACAGCACAGTGCAGTAACTCACCTTTGACACCCCTCCAGCTAGTATGGAAGTGTGAGAAAGGGGGGGGAAAGCTTCATAATGCAAGTTCACTGCCCGTCTGCCTGTCAAAATGGCAATTCGTGCCTAAAATCATCCTTTGATCTTTCCTTTCCCCTCCGATACTGAACGAAGCCCACCGAGCTTAACATGCACTCGCAAGGGAGTTTGGAATTCGGCTCGACCAATTCCCGCCCCTACTTACCTACCTGGGGATAAACTCGAGGGCGGGAGAAGAAGAAGAAAAAAGACCAAAAAAATAATTAAAAAAATGGAAGAAATGAATTACTGTGAAGGCTGGCCGATTCTCCCTTGTTTTGTTTTTTCGGGCATGCTTATATAGTACTCGCCACAATAACTTGGTGCGATATCCTTCCCTCCTTCCTCCCTCTCTTATCATAAGGAAACCCCCTCAGCGCCCGTAGTGTCATGATTCTAACAACCTATTGCAGTAAGGAATGATTCCCAAGAACGAATGCGGCGTACTCGTCCCAGGCAAGAACTGCCCGGAAACAGGAGGGTTAATTTTGTATGGGCGCTCAGACACGCACAGATGTTTTGCCATACATTTGCGAATCCCTGTTTCCGGGCACATCTTGCCTGTGACGAGTATCATACCCGGAATTTCCATACACTACTTGTAAGCTGCTATCGTACCACCATCCTTACTGTAACCCCCCACAGGGCGTTGAGGGGTCGATGGGGCAGGGGAGGGTAATTGGTGCCTGGACTATATCATACAGTTATGCCCCCTCTTGCTCTTTGAGTGCCATCATTTATGATATGGGTAGGTACCTGCCTAACTGACTGACCCCACGTACCACATTTTCCATTTTCCTTCCCCTTTCAGCCGGAAAAACCGAAGGTACTCATAAGATGCGGGAGAGAAGTTTTAGGTTAGTTGTGTTGGGGTGCCGTATGTAGGGAAAGGGGTGGTATTTATACAGGCATTAGGCCGGTACTCGTATGATATCGTACCCGTAAGGGTACGGTGGCCTGGCTAACCGGTGCTGAAGAGGATGGAGGTCATAATATTATCATCACCTTTTACCCCTGTCACAGATTATGCGATGAACGAGCGCTCCTGGGATACCGTGCGAATGCCTGTATAATGAGTCGACGGGTCGGGTGCCGAGTTGACCATATCTGTCCAGAAAAAAACCTTCCACCCCCACTTCCAATTCACATAGAACCACAGCCGGGTGATAGGGAAGGAGAAAAAACTTTTCCGAATAATATCAAGGTCAAGGAATACAAAAAACTTGCGAATAAAAAGGGGAATAAAATCCCAGCAATATTTCACTTTGCCACTACTCCTTATCCTTACCAAACCCCTTCCTTAACAGCCCCGTCGTGTACAATAGTCCCTCATTGAGGATTTTTACATCCCCCACATAACGAACCTTGGAAATCTCCTCCGAGACTACACGAGCGGCCTGGTTGTCCTTTGTAGTGTTTCCCCATTCATTGTTTGCGGTGAGTGTTATGTGCTGTAAAAGTGGATAGTCGGAGGCGGAGGAGGTGGAACAGGGAGCGAGGGAGGTCCAGAATGAGCTTGAGGCAGGGTCAACGGTTAGATCAAGGGGGTTACCGGGTAGTGGGATTGTGGTGTGGTGGGTCAAGCCTTGGTCTGGGGTGGTGGTAAAGAGGAGGAGGGCCGGGACTCTGTTTTGGGGGAAAGTTAGCATGTGTAATGGGTCGCCGATACGGTGTAACACGGACGTCCAAGGCATAGAGTGGCGGAGGTAACACGGTATTGGGTGTGATAGTGCAGGGTAGGGGCGGAGGGGAGGACTAAGTTTGCAAGTGGTACCAGAAAAACGATAAAAGTTTTCTGAAATGTGTGTGCGATGCTGACGCCCCCTCGGTTCTCTGGGGGGTCTGGGGGGAAGAAAATAGTGGTGTACCTCTCAAACGCCACAATAACAATCCTCCTCTCGGGCACTTCCCAAATCCCCACAACGGCCGGCTTAACTACTTCTTCCTTGTCCTTATTCCCTCCTCCCAGTCCTTCAGCTCCATCCCTATTACCACCGCAGCCACTACCGTCACCTTCCTTCCCGCCCACAACCCTCCTTCCAACAATCCCCTCCAACGCCCTGGCAACCTCAATCTTCTGCAAACACTTCCCATCCGCCCATCTCCACCTCCCCAGCCAGCCGTCCCCCCCACCAGAAAGCACCTCCTGCGGCGCCCATCCTGGGACCAAAAGCCTCGACACGAACGCCGTATGCCCTAGACAGAACCCCTCAATCACCCAACTCTGCGGGTATCTTGAGACCCGTATGTGTTCGTCCCTATCGGCCGTTATTATGTACTTCCTCTTTCGCCCCTCCTGCGTAGTGATGGTGATGGATAGGAGGTCCGTCAACATGGATACGTGCCCCAGGAGGAGTTTGTGCGCGAAGGGTAGGTCATGGGTGATTTCTGTACGTTGGCGTTTCGATCCCGAGTCTTTGGGCGTGGTTGCGGGTGGCACAGCAGGGGCCGGTTCTGGGGGGAGGAGTGGGAGGGAGTATACGTCGCCGAACTTGTCAGCGACAAGGATTGTGTTGTCGGAGTCTGTGAGTGCAAGGGCACAGGGTCTTTTGGGCATTGTTCTGTTTGATTCCGTGAATTAGTTATTATGGAGCTTGTGGAAAGGAGTAGATAGTGGTGGTGGGGGGGTTAAACATGCCTAGAACTCAACTCCCTCAACCCACCACCATCCAGAACCCTCACCGTCTTGTCCTCTTTCGTAACAGTGACGATGTACTTCCCAGCATGGGCGGAAATGATTTCGCTACTGCTGTTATCACTTCCTTCCCCTCCTTCCCGCTCTACCTCTTCCTCCCCCTCCCCCACCTCCCCAGTGTCTTTCGTTTCCTCATCTTCCTCCCCCTCCTCCTCACCTCCTTCACCCCCACTCTTCCGCTTCTTCCCAGAAACGTCGCCATCCTTCCCCTTATCTTTCCCCTTCTTCTTCTTCATTTGTCGTACAACCGCAGGCGCGGTCCATTTCGCTAACGACTCGCCGGTGCGCGCGTCGAAAGAGTGGATGTGTGGGCCCGTGCATGTGTATAATGTGCTAGTTTCGGGGACATAGAGGAGGCGCTGGATTGGGTGCTGCATTTTTTAAATTTTATTTCAAGCAATTGATGAGGTATGATAGGTGGTGGTAGAGTTGAGTTGAAGGTCGGGGATAATTTCAAAGGAGGCTTTACGAGCACCGTAGTGGGGCTTTTTAGCGGACGCCAAGGAAGCTTAAATTAGGTGAAGATTAATGGGGTTGGAATGCATGGGATATCGCTAGAGGTGGGGATCAACAGAGGTCATTTGGTAACCCGACAGTGCCAGTGCTTGCCGTGGGTCCACAGGCCAGAGAGAAAGTATGAGTATCATAATATTATAACGATAATATTATTATGATAATATTATTATTATCACATTACTGAACATCTCGGTTCCCTAAACCCTGAGGTGGTATCCACAAAGGCGAAAGCGGTATGATGCCGGTACTGTATGCGATAACAACCAACATGGTTTGTTAGTCCATATGATTCTCATATTCGAGTATGATAACTATCGTAAATAGTTACACTCCTACCTTTCATCTATTATTTAAAGCCACAAGTCAGTATATATTAATCCAGAGTTTAATTTCACTACCCGACCTTTCCAGCCAGCATTGGAACGCATAAAAGTTTAGGAATTGAATCGATATCCTTCTCTGCAACCAAGATATGAAGCAGATCCTGAACAATGTGAACCTCAGGATGGCTGACGATGGGGGTAAAAAGTTTGTCCCATGATATTTCGTGACAAAGCCTCACTCCCCAGCTGTTATATCATAGCTTTGTCTCTTTTTTTTATGATCCAAAAGTAGAAAAAAACCCATGTGCGGGTCCTGGCCCACCCCAACGCAGGCTATCAAAAATCCCGGGCGATACAGAGAGACAACGAGAAACTAAATTACGCTTCGTTCACCGAATTTTTCCCACAATTGCTTTGTATATCATATATTATATAAGCTACGCATGTGCAGTTAATGCAAGTGTAAATATGCTTCCATGAAATCCACACACCGCACCAAAGCAATCGATCGATCGATCGATCAACTCTGCCCCTCTCTTTGAATCCCCAGACCTACTAATATCCGGATAGCGCCTGGACGCCCTCGATTGGACTGAAGTCGGGCCAAGTGGGTATGGTGCTCATTCCACCCCATAAGCCTCATTGCACAGACACTATCGGGAGAGGTGGAGAGGAAGTGCGGGATGAGACTCTCATGGACAATACTACTTGGAAGAATTGAAATCCCGGGTTCGTCTTTTTAATCCACCATGCTTGGGAAGTGGAATCAGTGACTGGTTCTCCGATAAAACGGACAAGCTCTAGGCAGAGTGCTTGTAAGTCTAGATATCGTGACTAGAGGGGTTAGATGTTGATGGGATAGGATAAACTTGGTGTATTATTAAAGTATCACAACAAATCACTCGTAATGTGAATTCACCCCTAACTGGTGCTAGGGAGCGAGCACCTTCGGAATACCCATCTTGCTGGCTCAACACTCCTTTAGGAAAATAGTGCACCGTCAGATCTAGCTCAATTATCACCCTTAGAATGACATTAGAAATGTACACTGTCTATACTATCGTGCTCAAAATACAGTAACAAAAAACACCCCCAAGAGTAATTATTGAGCTATTTATATACTTTACAGTGTTTACTTAGCCCCCAGAAGCCCTGCACTCTCCCCCGCACCCTCTCCTTCGCTTTCTTCCTCCTCACTCTCTTCCTCTTCACTTTCCTCCTCCTCCTCCACCACCTCCTCCTCATCATCAACAACAACATCATCATCATCATCATCATCATCATCGCTTTCCTCCTCTTCCTCACTCGCCAAAAAGTCCTCCAAGCTCTCCGGTACCCCATTCGCCTTCGCGGTCGGTGGCAGTGCTGAACTCCCAACCCCGGGGCTTCCTACATGCGGACTTCTTATCCGTGGACTGGCACTCCGGACTCCTGCCACCCTAGCAGCCGGCATAGACACAGCACCTCCTCTGTGTGTATCAATACTTGGGGTTGCTAAAGGGGGAGGTTCGCGCAGACTGGGGCTCGGTGCTCTACTTGGGGTGGTCCATTCTGGTAGCGCCTCGTAGCCGCGGATGTCCTCGTCTTTGCCTACGACCATTGCTGCGGAGCCGAGCGTGAATGACTCTCTTCCCGAGGAAGGGCTTGGTGCTTGGGGAGTCGGTTTGGGCGCTAGGAGGAGGAGAGTTGCAAGTTGTGTGGATGAAGGGACGGAGAGTATGGATTTGTAGAGTCTTGCTCGATCGCGGAGGTCGTAGGATAGGTCGTATCTGGCAAGGAGGAGGATGTAAGAGAATAAGAGCGAGATGGGGTGTTTGTCCTCATCACCTGGGCCTTCTTCTGTAGGAACTGCGGGTTGAGTGTAGTTTAGGTGGTGGGCGTAGACTTTTGCGGCCAGGAGTACGATCTGTAGCTTTGCTTGTTCAGACTCGGAGTGGAAGCCTTTTGCTAGTATCCGGAGTGTGTCGGCAGCAACGTTATTCCCATCGTTGATCCCGGCGAACTCTCCTACCAGCCACACTATGCTTGCCCTGGCACTTGGATTAGTTGCTGTATCCAGTGCCTTTGCCAGCCGAACTACTGTTTTCGCGTGGTTTCGGGGGTCTTGTTGAATGATATGCCGTATTACGGTTAACGACTCCGCCACCAGAGTTCCATCAGAGGACTCAACTTGGCGAAGCAGCAACCGTAGACATCTCGCCGCATTCTTTGTCTGACTCTGTGCACATCGGCCAATTGCCCTAACAGCTTCTTTTACTAACTCTTTATCGTAGCCTTTGGCAAAGTACTCCAGCTCAGAGAGTATTAGGTTCTTTGTATGGACATTTGTATGTGGAAATATGAGTGTAAGGACTTCGAGCTTTAGGCGCCAGATATGAGCTGGATCCGAGGCGTGTACAAGGAAATGCGTCGCGAATTGGGTGAATGGTTGGGGATGCTCCAGAGAGATGGAAACTATGTTTACGAGAGCCATGTGCTGCACGTCAACCGCGCCCCTTAGAAGACTGACTAAGGGACCAGCAATGGTCGACAAGCAACTTGGTGGTGCTAGGTGTCGGTATACCCTAGCCGCGGCCACGATAACCTGCACCCCGTTAGTTTACGCATAAAAGAGGAGGATATAAGATGACCATACCGCACTATTCCTACTCTGCGTTAAAGGCACACAGGCCTTCAACAGCAGCTCCAAATCCGGATCCATCACGGTAACCACCTCAATCACTTTCCCTCCAGCATCCCCCTCCACCTCCTCATCGGAATAGAAACCCCCAGCGCCTCCGGAATCCCAACCCTTGACTTTCTTCTTCGTACTCTTCGCAGGGAAATGCCTCCTCGAGTACTCGGTCAAAAGCCGTAGCACCGCTAACTGACCCCACTCATCCATATCAATCAACATCTTCACCAAAGACCTATAATGCGGATGCACCAATCCCCACTCGTGTGGGCACACCTCCAGATACGCCATCACCGCCGCACCGACAACGTAGAAGCTCCGATCCCCCAACAGTGTACTCAGGGACTCCGTCAATTGCGGCAAAGTAGTAGGATCCAACCTATAGCATTTCGGAATCGCCAACGCTGCGGACTTGCGCACGTAGGCCGACATATCCGCCACGCAGCGCTTTACGCCTAACGCTACGATCTGGGAAATCACGGGGACACGAATTCCGGACATGACGCGCATGGCCATAGCTCTCACTAGCTGATTCTGGTCGTTGAGAGCTTTTTGGATAGTGTTTATTGATAGCAGGGCTAAATCTGGCTCGGACTCGGCGTACCGGAGCAGGTAGATGTATACTAGTTTCTTAATCTCTAGAACCGGAGAAGCGACGTTCTTGACTACGTCCGCGAAGAATTCAGAGCAGTCTATCCCTCTGGACATCATCTGTCAACGAACCCCGTTAACAAAGAAAAACCTCATCGGTTACTAAATAAATTCAGAAGCCCTACACCTATAACCCTCCGCAGCCCATCCAGAACTTCTTTGTCCATTCTGCTATTCAACAGCTTCTTCGTCTCTGCCGACGTTCCCTGTCTCCCATCTTTATGGATGGTCCTGCCGGAGGCGGATGCTGCTTGTGCTGCCTCGAGGGTTAAGTCCCGCGCTGTTTCAAGAATTGAGGAAATTCGAGAGAGCGACTCCATTTTTTGGTGGTAGAGTTGGGGGGTGAATGGTCGGAGGTGTGGGTGGTGCGGGGTGGACCTGGTGTCACGATATGGGGCTTGAGTTGGCTGGTTTTGAGGGTGAGGCTGAAGATTAAGAATTGGTTGGGGCTTACGTCATCGTTTGTTGGATAGGATGCAACCTAGGTCAAGTTACAGTACTCGAGTAAGGTTTACGATGAGAATTATGGTGTCATACTGGAGATGTGAGCTGTTGCTTCTGATCTTATTTTCTGTATCATACTCGCAGGCTTTCAATAAAGCACTACCGACATATGCAGAGCACCTTCCTGTGCGTATTGCCCAGCCAATTATTCCATATCATTGATCGGTCCCACACGAGTGATATATTATGAAGAACTAATTCCCCATGAAGTCCCACTAGCCCCATTACCAGACAATAACGGATTACACTAAACAAAAAAACGTTTGCCCTCTATAATATACACCCAAAATATTAAACTATAAGGAACAAGGAAATCCAGTAACCCCCCCCCCCCCAAGAAAAGAAAGAAAAAGAAAAAAAGAAACAACCTCACCGCAACAACCAAATTCTATAACACATCCAAGACCCCCTCTTACTTACTCATCCCTCTTCCTCACCTTGGGCAACAAAAACCAAATCCCCTCCATAGCAACAAACATCCCAATACTAACCGGATGCAAAACCCAAGCACCGAATTTACTCGCCAGCATACCGGTCGTAAATGGCGCAATCGCACCGCCCGAGCTCCCAAAAGCAGAAATAAAAGTCAACGAGGATACATGCAACCTCCTATCAATAAGCTTCGTAGTAATAGTCATGACGCACGGGTATAGCGGTCCAAGTAGCAGACCGACGAGAGCGATAGAGACAGCGTTGGAGATAATGTTAGGGACCGTCCAGACGAGGACTTGGAATATTATTGAGCCTGCGGTCAAGATGAAGACGGATAGGCGCTCGCCGATGCGCGTGCAAAGGTGGCTGAGGGCGAGCCGGCCGACGGTTATACCGGCCCAGAAACCGGAGACGACGTACCCGACTTCGGCAGGGTCCCCGGCGCGGGCAGTGATTAGGAAGGAGATCGTCCAGCCGCCAATGGCTACTTCTGCGCCCTGTTTAAATCTTCTAGTGACTGGGACAGGAGAGGGGCGAGTGGGGGGGGGGGTGTACCTGATAAGCAAATATGAAAATCGCAGTCAAAAGAGTGTATTTGTTCTTGATACTCTTCCTAAGGATATCCTTCGTAGATAATACGCCCGTATTACCCCCAGGGAGCCGGACAGGCGTGCTATCCTTCTCGCTGTTCCAAAAGGCGTACGTCGCCAGGAAGGAATTGAATATGGCAATTCCCAGGAGCAAGAGGTAAAACCTCGACCAGAGGATCCCACGGGAAGCCATAGCTGTAGCAATAAGCGGGGATATTGTTCCACCAAGCCCATACGCACCTACCCACCCACACGCAGCACATCAGCATAGCTTCCCAAACACCACACCTCACTCGCCCAAGTACCCGCAACCTACCATGCACATAACCAAAAGCAGTGGTACTCCCCGCCAAACTCGACGCAAAAACATTACACTGCGCCAAAATCTATCCCTCCCCCCTCTATCAGCCCAACCCTTACTCGCTGCATGAACACCAACCAGCTCAGCTCACTCACCAAACTCATCCCCCCACCCATCAAGAAAAAACTCATCACAACAGCTCCAAACGGCGGGGTGACAGAAGCAACTACGTACGCCAACACCATCATCAGAACCCCCACCAAAACCGTCCTCGCCCGCCCTATCCTAGCATAAGTGACCTGCGATATCGTAGCAGAAAATATGAACCCCGCGGCATTCGACAAGAAAATCAACGAAACGATGGCATATCCGATGCCGTAGTGCTTCTCCATGTACGGTATCAGAGCTCCGGGCGCAGCGTCATTGATTCCATTACAGAAGTTCAAGCAGCAGGCAGCGATAAGCCGGAGGAGATTTATTTGGGGGCAGCGGAGTGTCTGGACCATTCCTATGCCTTCTCCGTCTGGGGAAGAGGCGGAGGAGGGGAAGGGAGTCACGGGGCGCGAGAGAGAGCGAATTGGGGTTGTGGACCCCGCGGGCGTCGGCGGGTCCGAACGTCGGAGCTCGTCTGGGTCTGTTTCGGCGTAGCCGGGGGTCGCACCGCGGTAGAGAGGTTGGGTGTGGTATGCTGGGGGCATGGACTCGAGTTTTACCCCCATTGAAGGACAGTGGGTGGTGAAGAGACTCATTGTTCGGGCCGCCGAAGTGGAAGTATTCAGAGGTCTACTTCCCTGGGGCTTGGAGATGCATGGAGAGGAGGGAGGGGGGATTTATACAAGCAATCCCACGTTTCATTCAGGATTAAAGTACGATACTCTTTTACGGACCCGGAGCTAGGCGCTCCGCCCTAGATTCTATACTAGTATATCTACTGTACCCCCCATACCGTACGGCACCGTTCCATATTCAGGAAGGTATAGATTATGCGGACTGATGATCCCTCTCAATTCTTTGATCCGTAAAATAGTTGTATTGCCACCATTGACTCTTTCTTTTCTTTCCTTCCCTCTTAGGGTACTGGGACTCAACTAAGGACCCTTGCACAATTCTCTAGGGATCAATTTTGGACCACCAATCGATAAGTTGAAATGATAAGCGATCACTATGTGATGGAGGTGCCCCAGGTCGGAACATAGTACCGTAAATGGCATCCGAAGGGCCCCGTGGTGGCTAGGGGAAGGGGGAAAAAAAGAAGGCACACCTGCGCTAAGCTCAGGTCATCTTCGAATAAGGCTGTCGTTACCCCATCAGAGGCCCGCGGCCAAGTTGTCGTAGCGTGGGGAGATACAGATGGGCCGGCCCGATGGAAGCAAACCCCGCCGGCCAGAGGGCGTGAGAGATGAGGTTGGTGCCGCATGAGTCACTGCAAAATTTTGCAAAAAAAAAAAAAAAAAAAAAAGGATTTACCGTAGCAGCCGCATACAACGGCTCAATCTCATAAAAGCACTTTTTCAAAGGCAATTGTGGGTTTGATAATTATTATGATATGTATTTCGCGTGAATAAGCCATCTCTTTCGGTTTATCCCCATTGACCATGCCCTAAACAAGGGAAAAGCTGGGAAGTGGTTTATATCATACCAGTCGCACCAGAGACTGGTAATTTTCCATAAAAACTATCATACTGGCAGACTAGCCTGGGTCCGACTGAAAAATCCGGACTAAGCACTGCATATTCCTACCACCCAGTTTACTCGCGGTGAGAATATTGTGGAACCGTGAGATGTACTGTACTGTACAGTACCGGTAACCAGCCACAGAACCATCACAAAAATCTCAAACTCTCAACTCCCTCTAACCCTACTAGTATGTTAAAAGGTATCTGAGTCGCAGCCAAAATGAAAGGTACTATTACTCGTACCAGATTTCGCACCCCAAAGCAAAAGGGGGGGGGCATAAAAACACAGATCTCTGTACAGTACCGTATTGTGGTCCGTGGTTGTCACGATGGTTGAAACATTGCTAGACAAAGTGGTGGTTGAATTCCAGGTCTCAAACACTTATGATAACTTATGATATGATACCATAATCTCGCTGAGAGTATCAGTAGTATCAGCTCACTTACCAAAGAATCCTGATCCTGATCGATAATACACATAATTAGAAAAACGCTGTCACAGACACACAATGAGACTAAACACACTATTCCAGTACAAAGCTATCATAACCCCGAATAACTTAACCCCCCTCCCATTCTAAGCTCCACTTTGCATACGATATCATACCATACTAAAAGAAGCACCTGCCAGTCAAATAGTCTTCATAATGAGATATGGTGCCAGTACTGACAAAGCAACGCATTCACTCAAAGACTCTGCTCAGAAACAGCAAAGCCCCGGATCCCGAGGATCTGGCCAGAAGGAACATCCTATTCCGCATATAAAGGGAGAAGAAGAAAGTAAGTTCAGGAATATATACGCTATCTCAACCCCCCCCCTCTTCAGAACTAATAACTACCCCTGTCATACAGATTCCCTCTCCCCCTTCCTTTTTTTTTAAAAAAGAACTTTGACCGCACACCTGTACGAGTATATCCCCTTCATCCCTTCATCCCTTCAATATAAATTAACTTAGGAGGTATACCATAGAAAATTCCAGGTGGGCGTCACAATGTTTGGCCAATGCTACGGTATGTTAAAACCGGGCCACTCACCTGCCGATCGAAAATCAAAGCTCCGAATGAGAATCTATGCCACTGAGACATTGAAAGGGCACTCTACTGTGCTGTACCCTTCATGCATATCATATGGAAAACTCTCCCATCTTGGTATCACAATGATGTTGGTATAATAGAGGTGCATTTTTCTCCCCGAGATCGAAAAGGAGATGTCAAGCTATGGGCCTGGTCTGTCAGCCCCATATAGTAACATATGACCCACAAAAAAAAAAAAACCTCACTAAGGCCCTGTTTGGCATGCCAGAAATACTCAGTTTTTCCACATTTTCCACTGTTTTTCTGAAAGAAAATGTAAGAAAAACAGGAAGAAGAAAAAAGCTGAGTTTTTCCGACATGCCAAACAGGGCCTAAAAATTAGTTTTTTTCATTCACACTGGCATAAAAGGATTTTTAAAAACTAGACTGAGTACATCTATTTTTTCTTCTATCATCCTTCTAATTTAAGGCAGTACGGTAATTATCGCTGACACTGTACGAGTATGATACCTAGGAGAGGTTGACGTGATAGACAATGTACGGTGGGTAGTCTGGCCCTATCGCTAGAGCTACCCATGACGGGAGGTTCTGCCACAGTATCACAAGTTAGTTAATGATAGCCTATTGTAGGCAATCCCAACCACCCACAACACCCACCACAACCACAACCACCCGATCACCAAAACCAAAATGCCTTCTCGCCGCCACCGCCGCCCCCCGCCCAGCCTGCTAGCCACTCTCGATACCCTAACCACAACCCCACCCCCAGCCCCGCTCCCGGCAACACAATTCATAGCGCGCGTCCTCGAAAACACCGGCAAGCACCTGTACCGTGTGGAGTCCCCGAATGGGCAGGAGCTCCTCGTGGAGTTGCCAAAGACGTACCGCAGCGTGGTGTGGGTTCGTAGGAACCGGTTCGTCCTGGTTGATACGGAGGGGTTTGATGGCGGGGAAGGGGGGAAGGTTGGGGGGAAGGTTAAGGTTGTGGTTAGGGGGGAGAAGGGGTGGATGGGGATGGGGTATTGGTATGATAGGCCTTTCTTCTTCTTCTTCTTCTGAGGTTTTGACGGGGAGGGGAAGGGGCTAATGTGGGGTTGGGGATGAGTGGATAGGCCAAAGCATTTTACTACCGGGTACGAAGGCGAGGACGAGATGTCTGAGGGGCAGGAGGAATCAGCCGCTGGGAAGATGCCGCCGGGTTCAGATGATGAGGAGTCAAAGTGATAAATACCTATGATACAGGCTGATTTCTTTCCTCCCCTTTCTTCTTGTCGGTTTTCAAAAGTTTGTTTATTTGATCATTCCCATATACGATACAGTACAATTCCATCTAATAAGTTTCAGTACAATTCATAGCAACAACAAAATTTAATATTGCAATAATATTATATTTTTGCCGGTATTATAGATGCCAAATTGAGCCTGATCCGAATTCCCTTATCTGGCAATCCTGAGATTGCCTGATATGGTTTTAATAAAATGGATCATGGGTGGGTGCAGTAGTCAACATTATTATATTGAACTCTACAAACCATTCTGGACACGTCCCCATCTATGGCAATACCCCTCTATCCCTAGCTTTTCTCAATCTTGCCCAGAGTCAGATACTTGGTAGTATCTCAAAAGATAATAATTTCTTCTCATCATAGACCGTGACGGTAACAAAATCTCAGATACAGTAAATACAATCAATATCCATGAAGATGTGCGACTGGCTTCCTAAGGTCCCCTTACATTAGGATTTTTTTCAGTTTCCACCACCAAAAACTATCATAATATGATATGATGCTATAATGATAATAATATTGTCAAATCTATTTGCATACTATTAAAATATCATCTAAGTCTATTTTTATTGCCCAATCCTCTAAGTGCAAATCATCACATAAGTCTTCTCTTAAAAAGAACCCTCAAATATATCCCAGTAGTTTGGAAACCCAGCTATGATATGATACTCACCTGTCCAACAAAAAAAATGCCAAATCCAAGATATTGACTGTAACGGCGTACAAAGACCTTGATTTCTTGAAAAATATTTTAAGACTATCAGCAGGCACTCTGCTCGCATCTTTGCCGAGAAGGCATCCACCAGCCGATATTTTGCTGGAGTAGTCACTAAATAAATTTATCCAGGCTAGCCGGGGCCTAAGCAAAGACGCGCGAGTAGACTACAGGGTCAGGAACAATCGTAAGCATTGAATCAAATTTGTTACATCGGTTGAGTGGGCCAACTTCACATATCAACGCCCATGTATAAACTCTTAAATTCAAAAAGGTATTATAATACTCGTACATTCAGAGAAACTTCTTTTGACTTTTCTCCTCCTCATTCTTCCTTTCCCCCCGGGGATTCCCCACAAACAATTCTTCCTCATCCCTACTTCTACTCCCCCACCAAACCCCCGACACCATCGCTGCAAGGACGCCTACCACCATGCTCGAACTAGAGTTTGTACTAGGGTATACGTTCCACGCCCACTCCTGTGCAGCCCAGAGCCCCGTAACCCACCCAGGCCCAAACCCACTGCGCCAGAGAAGGTAGGGGGTACCCCAAGCAAGCCATGAGTAGAACTGGTAGTGCAGGCTGCGAGCGCAGAGCATGCCGATTGCGTTCGCACCAAGAACGGTGGTGAGGACAAACCTGGGGGTTACGCGCTGGTTCATTTGATATTCCAGGAGACCTTCTTGGGGGGCCACCAGGAGGTTCAGGAAACTGGGGAAGGAGCGGTCCGAGGGTCTAGTTGTGTTAGCCGTGGTTTCACCGGAGCGAGGAGAAGGTGGGCAAACTTTGACCATCGAGTGACAAGAAAGAATAGCAAAAGGCAGGCGTGTAATCCTAAGAGCCCTAAGGAGAACCCCTTAGAAAGGAATACCTCCTCGCCAACAAATCTCCAGTTTACAGTCCACTGGAAAAAGAATTGTCGGGTGAATTCAAATGCCCGATTAAGATAACTCATTGGGAACTCTGTAAGGAACGGCGTAGCAAGTAGGAGCTTTCAAGCGATCAACATCATTTCCCCTTAACACCTCGGGATGAGAATACGAACACACCTGAAGCTGAAGCATTATCCCCGCTTGCCGAAGAGCCTTATCCCTTCCAAGGGCTAATAAATACAACCCCCCGACAGCTGGCAATGCCAGCAGCGTATTCATCTTAACCCCCACACTTAAAGAATATGCCAAACTACCCAACGTCCACAACTTTTTCTGCCATACGAACACTGCCAAAAACAGAAGCAATATCGAAAACGGGTCGTTGAACAGCCGGAGCATGTAAATACTATGCAACCGCTTGGAAAGTATCAAGAACGGTAGTAAATACGGAGGAGCCTGCAAACTTCGCCGTTAGCCCACCAACACCAACACACCTTCAAGACCACAACAAAGAAGGGAGAAGACGCATTACCCTAGCCTCCCGGTAACACAACCCCACCACCCCCACCGTCACCAAATAGACCCCCATAAAAATCCACTGCGCCAAACCCACATCCACCCCACCCCGCGTGACTCCGTATAGGTAGTTATATATGTAAACGTGTCCAGCAGGGTATACTAATGGCCCTGTCCTGCCCTTGATCATGACGTAATCCCGTTCCCCGGCACGATATTGCGAGACTTGCTCCATATAGGCTTTCCAGTCGATTTCGGTATCTACTCCCCCAATTTGTTAGCTTGCCCGGCCCACGCTTCCAGAGCAGGGGCCACATATGTAACCAGAGTTGATGCTTACAGGGGACTTTTAAAATAATAGTTGTGCAGAAGACGGCGTCTATTAGCAGCAGAGGCGGGAGCAGCCATAGTGGAAATCTGGATTTGGAGTTGAAGGTTGAGTGGATTGTGGTGCGGAGTAAATCCATCCTTTGTGTTTTTGTGGTGGTGGCGATGGATCGGTTTGCGCAAGAAGGGTTACCGGCAGGTGGTAATATAAGCAGTGGCTTGTTCAGGATGGATGGGTGGGTGGTATCGTACGGTAGTCTAAGGCAGGTACCCGAGTGTCGGGTTAAGGGACCGGGGGTTGTTGGCTTGGCCGGGTGGAGGAGGACAAGTGCGCGATAACGTTTCCCCGAAGATGGTCTTGAGCAGTCACACGGCACAGGTGCTGCGTAGGAATGTAGCCCAAGGGAAGCTCTTCAAATCACAAGAGGTCGAGATATTCGGGCGTAAACACTAAACTAAAAAAACTAAATAAAATAAAAATACCATAAATGACAGAGCCAGCCTCCAAACGAAACGATACATTCAACCCAAAATCCTAGAACACAAATTCCATAAAACACAAAACTCCTCAAACCCCAAAAGAAATCTCCCTCTTCCCAATTATGACATGACAGACAAGGTCATCAAGTCTTCAGCCCCTCCATCACTCCCACAACCCCCTCAACCTCCTTCTCCCTAACAGTCTTAATCCTGTCTGGCAGCCACCTAATCTTCTCCTTGACCGCCTCCAACTCACCCTTCCCCACCCCTTCCACAGCCCCGTCCACCGCGCCCTCCAAAACCTGCACATAGTCATCGTAAGCCCCCACCAGCCCAGCCCACCCTCCCATACCCTCCCTTGCCTTTGCCCGCCTATAGAGCGCTTTCCCCCACCCAGGACGGAGGTTTAAAGCTCTACTGGCCGCTTTAACGGCTTCATCGTAGCTCCTCAATTTTATCTGCGTAGCGGCAATGTTATGGTATATGGTTGCCCGCTCGAGTTTTAGCGTCTGTGGGCAGCGGGAGAGCGCGAGTAGGTATGCGTCCAGCGCCGCGAGGTAGTATGATGTGTTAAAGAGGCGGTTCCCACTGAGGCGGTAGGTGGCGGATTCGAAGAGGAGGCGCTGGTTGCAGAATTGTTAGCGAGATGTCAGTGAATGGAATGGAGGCAGAAGCATACCTGTTCTTCCTCCTTCGATAGCACCTTCTCTTTACCCCCCTTCTTATTCTTCCCCCCTTTCTCCATGCCGGCTACACTCGACCCGCGTGGCGGAGGAGTAGATACCAGCGATGGCACCGCCGTCGTCTTTGCGGGTCCATTATTATTATTGGGCCTCTCATGAACTTCGTTCGCAAACAGCAGTATGTCCCTGTTCTCCTCATTATGTTTCGCCATGTAAAATTTTTGATCGACAATATGCTTGTCCTCAAATTTGGTTTTGAAGAAAGGGAGTGGAAGAGACATTCTTATACTGCCGGTGTGTTAAGTTAGGCACCGCGTGTTAGATCAAGTCCGTCTGTCCCGAGGAGGGGGGTCTTTGAAAATAGTATGAGAGCAGTTCAAGTTGCTGGTGAGTCCGGCCGAAGGTGGGCTATGTCCAACACGAGCCGTTCAATAAATCTTCCCGAGAAACGGTGGTACTTATATGGCACTGACACGGAAGTGGTTGGATGCTACAGCACTCACCAGTGCAGCCCAGGCTAGGGAAGCGATGGCCCTGTACCTTGTATGATACCGTACTGTACTGTACTCGCGCAGTATGCTAAACCATGAATGCGCCCCAGTCACCATTCCTCCTCCTCCTGACAAGGCACAACCATGGGTACATTAATGATTGATAATTGATAAATAGTAAAGGCACGGCGCCGTCGGCCCAAGTGGTGAATTCCGCGATGGTAAAAATAGCAAATATTTTCACAGAAAAGCACTACCTCCTGCCGGTGCAGTCTCCTCTTCCGCGAATAGCGGTGTCACCTTCACCCTCATCATCACCATCATCAGGCCTCGAATTACTCCCGACTCCCCCAGGCAAGATCAAATGCCATGACATAAAGTCAAATACGATGCTCCTACAGTACACGGCAGTGCGCAAGGGCAGATACACCAGGTAAGCAAACCCAGGTTTTCCACACTATCAACCCGACGACGATCCATAAGCAATCCGGCCCATGCTCACTTCTCACGTAAGAACATTATTTCCCCCCGAGTTCTGATGATTGATTTCTCCGAGGTGGGGAAGAGCGGCCCTTGGCCTCTGTTTCACAATGCCGGTATTAACCTGATGGCATGTGTGTGGGGTGTGGTCACGCTTTGTCACTCTCCTGAGCTGTGCTGTGGGTTCTTTGGTGATTGACATGACAAAGGAGAGGAGTCGCTAATGCAGTGACCCCCGCATCTCGGCTATTCCAGCATCGAACTTGCATGCGAAGCCTGGGGGAAAAGCCTGGGGGAAAAGCCTGGTCGGAGTAAGCAGAGGTACCGGTACTGTACTCGGGCATGTATTTCGGGGTTACTGTAATAACGTGATGATGTTATTATTATATCATACGGCACCTTATACCGGTAATACTTGTACAAGTACTGGTATCATACTGTACATTGTTAGTCTCCCCGATTCTCTGATATAGTACTCGTACCGGCACCTGGGTACGAGTACTGCAATGTATCATACACGAGTAGCTTCGATTGCTCTGACCGACCCGTCACGCTCCACCACAACAGGGCGAAAGCCGCAAAGCGTGACAAGGCAAACACCAGAGCGAAGCTTGATACAGAGAGTGGATCTATATCGAGAAACCTAGGTTAACGCATTACCCGGTAACCAGCCTCTACAATTCGACAAGTTCGATTTGTGCGATTAGAACTGATTTGGGGGTGAATTGGGCCCCACTCTGCCACACCCTCCGATTTCCTGTCACCATGATACTTTCCAGGATACCAGACAGTTGACCCCGATGCAGTCAAATACAATACCTCGCTGTATATCATCACGGTTCCCATACTCCCGTTCTTGCGGTGGTCATTCCCAGTTCCTTCTTTACCGATCCCTACTTCTCCTGAATACCCTGCTTGATCCTTTCACTCGACTCCTCTGCTCCGCTAGGAGGAAGAGACTTCTCTTTCTCTTCATCCCTCACTATGGAACAACCAAGTTTCCGCTTCAATCAGCTACAGTGCTTCCAAGAATACGTTAGTATGAGAAGTCTCGAAATATCCAAATTACAGTACGAGAACCTAGCCCAATATCCCGAGAAATTGCTTAGGGAACTGGGAGCCTCATTGGCCTCCTCACGATACTCGAGCATGATACCGGTAATACGTCATGCTCGAGCACAATCACTGTCCGCACATCACGGAGCGGCTCCAACACCAGCAAACCCTTGAAAACCATCACCACAATTACCCCAAATCGAAACAAACCCCATACACGACCCAAGCGCCGCGTTCAAACGAAACAAACACTCACTCATAGATCAGATCCATGATCTATGACATCTAAGGTGGACATATCCGTCGATCCTCAAAAACGGAAACGTCTCGTCTAATTCTTAGCGCATGGCTAGAACGGCGGGGCTTCGTTTCGTTGGCACATACCTTGGCAGGGACCTGCGCTATCGATAATTGGGCCGCACAGCGAAAGCCACGTCAGAAGTGCTCCAATCTGCTGTCATTCCCCCCTTGGAAGACCATTCCTGAATGCATGGAAGGAGAGGGGGGATCATTGGACGGATGGGGTAGACTACGGGAACAACGATTGCTTTCCTCCTTGATCTATCCGTTCACCTATTGTTACCGTACTTCATTCACAGGATCAGAATTGGGATGCCACGGGGGCTAACTATGATACTGTACCTGCAGCTCCGACTTCTTTTTTTTTTTCTCATTCGCTAGGGTTATGGTACATACTCGAGCACACAAGGGTACATAAATCAGTTGTTTTTCCCCTCCTTTTCTTTCAAGCCTCACTCTATCTTTTAAAGTTTTCCCACACGAACCCGTCCGTCAGTCGGTTGAACCCGGACGAAAACCTATCCATAGACCGCATCCACCTGTTCATCCATCGCAGCGATTCTCCTCCACTTACTGCAAGCCCCCTTTCCTCCCTCATCGTTCGGATTAGCCCCACCATTAAACCCGAAATACAAACAAGCACGCGAGCAAGCAATGTCCATCCCCAGACCCGCAATCTCCTCAAAACGACCCCGCTCCTCCTCAAGCATCAGGTCAGAAGACGTATTTTCCCCTCGCAAGAAGGCGCGCGGTTCCTCAGTTCAGGCAGCCTCCTCTCCCGGTCGATCCCCGCTAATCCGATCCCGACGCTTGAGCTCTGAGGTCCCAGACCTGAGCAGTAGTTTGGTCACTGGAAGACTCACACCTGCGCCCTCGGTCACACCTGCGCCGACTTCTGCTCTTGGGAAAGCTGCTACTGCTACTAACGATAAAGATACTGAGCCCGAGACATCCCCACCAACGGTCAACCTGCCCGTCGCAAAGAGACGCCCACGACTATCACTACCAGCGCCAGAGCCCGACCGTCCCCATCGGGAGGGGACCGTGGATTCCGGTGAGCCGGCCGAGGACGCAGAAGACTTTGCAGAGCTGCTGCGCGATGGGTTCAGTCTTCAGGAGGCAGCCCTGTTCCAACGTATACAGAAGCGCGGATTTGAGCCTTTAATGCCAGCGCACTGGCAGGTGGACTTCTCCACGATGCCGGACCATCTATTCACCGCTGCAGACGACCCAGCATACATCGAATCGATCACGTTAGACGGGACATTCAACGCCACAACAGCTTTCCAGACTCTGGTTAATTTAGGCGGATTTGTTCGTGGGAAGTTGGAGGGGAAGCACGATGCTGAAGCAAAGATTGTTTCTAGCTTGAGGAAGTATATTCAGTGGTCTGTCGATGACGCTAAGATGGGTTAGTCCCCCTCTAGATCTCCACCGCTCTAGTATCAATTCTAACGAATATAAAAGCCGGCTTCGAAATCCACCCCTTAATAGCAATATCTTCTTCCCAGGGCAAAGACCCAGCCCACTGCGAGAACCGCATGGATAAAGTATGCCTCCCCGCTCTATATAGCCCCTCCAATACATATTAACCGAGTCAGAAACTCCACGAGATAGCCAAAACCCTCCGATCCCAAGACTCCCACCTCTCAATCAGCCACCCCCGACCAGAAACCTCCTCATCCACAGTCTACGGCCTCGCAGTCGCCGGCTGCGTTGCAGCACTAATCACCCTAAACGCCCGCGATGAGAAGGCGCCTACAAGGACTATGCTAGTAGTAGACTTTTCAGAGGCGAACACAGATTTCTGGAATGCCATTTCTGTATGCTCCCCCCATTTTTCCCCTTTTGTGTGAAGTTGCGCGTGGTGGGGGTAGGACTGATGAGGTTTTGGCGGCGGTTCTAGATCGCACTACTAGTAATTGCAGCCAGAGATGACGAACTGGAACGGGTGGACTTTTATAGAGACCGTGGGGTAGAGAGGGGTTGGAAGGTGGGGCAAGTAGAGTCTTGGCAAGCAAAGGGGAGGAGGAGGGGCGGGGTTGAGGATGAGGATGAGGATGCGTAGCTTGTCTGGTTTCGATTAGGGGGTATTGGTATTGCCGGTAGGTGTGTCCTTTTTTCTGCGTTTCCTTTCCTTTGTTTGCCCAGTTTTGCTTTCCTCTGGCGGGGAAAGGGGTGAGGTTAAGGGAGGTTTTGTCAGTGTTGGCGTTTGGATTTGGAATTTGGAATGTGGAATATGTGGGTATTGGGAAGTAGCGGACAGTAGGGCCACCACGACGGTGCAGTGGTGGTGGTGGTGACGGTGGCGCGGTAGTAGCGCTACATCGCTAGGGGGTCTAATACCGCGATATCAAAGTTTGCACTTTTCTTGCTTTTGAACTATTATTACTCGCATAGAGCACTGTACGTGTACTATGTCTGCGCTTCTACAATATTATTGTTTTTCCCCTTTTCCCTTCCCCATCCTTCCTCTCCTTTTTGCCTAAGTGCTGTAAGCATGGTGCAAGGAAGGAAGGAAGGAAGGAAGGAGACAGTCAAATAGGGGGAGATGTCCGCTTGTTTACTTACACCTTCGCTACTAATCACTTGCTCGCTTGTCCCCTCTCTTTTGTTTATTTATTTATGATATCTATTTCTACATGTATAATATCACCATGCCAGATATTTCTCTCCTTCAATTAGCTCGTCCCCTGGTAGTTTTTAGTTTAGTTATCTATCTAGTCTATCCACTCTATCGTGCGGGATTCACTTTGAGAAGAGTTGGACGGGTAATGGTGGGTTGATTGTATAAATGAATGCGGAAGTGGAGGTAGACATCACTCGCGTGCTAGTTTCAAGTGTTGCACCATCACCTTTTCTAATTTATGATACCGTACTTCGGGTATACAAAACGTTGATACTGTATCACACAGCGCTTACCCATCCAATATGAACAGGCTCAACGAATGAAATTACTACAGCGGTGATGAAAAGAGAGGGTAAAATAAAGAACCAGACCCCTCATACAAGCTATAAAAACGATATCCGGGGAGTTAATAAAGAGAACGGGAAGAAAAGCATCACTCATGCCATTTTCCATTCACCCATGAAATACACCCTCCCGCTTCGTCGCAACTTATTTCAATTTCAACTTTACCCCCACCAGCTACATAATAAACGTCTTCCAGCTCCCTCAACAGGATTTTAAGTTGTCACAACAACCGTATTCCTCAGGAGGAGAGGACAGTTCAGGGACTTTCCTGATACACGAAAAATAACGCCTGGCGGAAGAAGCAAAAAATAGGAGGAAGGGGAAAAAAAAGAAAGACATTTGAGCAAAAAATAACATAATGGGTTTCTGTCTTTGTATAGAAATGGGGGGGAGGGGTCTGAGTCCTCTTATGAGAACGAACGTCTTTTGGAAAACTACTATTAAGAGAAATCTTGCACATAGGAGAAGCCGCGGAATTCCTCTTGCATGGCTTGGGTGAGCACTATATGAGAGGTTAGCACATGGTCTGCTTCAGAGTATGGAGGGATAAATTGCTTACCTGACTGCACGGGAGTGAGCACAGGGGTGACGCTGGTAAACTCCTGGTCAAAATTGGAAGTATCTGTGGCAGATTGAATTGACGGCTTAAAAGGAGGTGGGATGCGTTTGTGATAAATGTCCTCCCAATTGATATTGGCAAAGAATGGGTGGGACATAATCTCTTGCGCATCCGTAGGCCCAGACCCAAGACGCAACTCAGGCTCCTTCGTCAGAAGCTAATTTGGGTGTTAGTATACCATTCAACCAAGGCCAAGACAGCAACAAACCTTTTGTAAAATAGATACCGAATCGCGAGGCATGTGAATAGGGTACAAGGCCTCATCAGCAAGAATAGCATCATAAATTTCATCTTCGTCTTCCCCACGGAAGGGGGATTGTTGGAGAAGCATCTGGTAAATCAACACACCAAACGCCCACCAGTCAACAGCACGGCCATAGCGTTTATCCATAAGAATCTAGGCCCTGAAAATCAGCAAACAAATACATTGCTAAAATAGTAGATAGTAATATCACCTCCGGCGCCATAAATTCAGGAGTACCACAGAAGGTGCTTGTAGCAGATCCATACCACATCTCCTCCTTGCAAAGACCATAATCGGCGATCTTAATATGCCCATCAAGTGTGAGTAGAATATTATCGAGCTTTAAATCACGATAGATCACTCCGTTCTCGTGGAAGTACTTCAATGCCAAGCAAACCTCGGCAGCATAAAACCTAGTACATGTCAGCATTAGACTATTAAGCCTCGAGATGTAACCTACTGCGCTCTCCTAGATCCGAAAGGGCCCCTCTGAATGTGCAACATCAAATCCCCTCCGCTAATATACTCCATGACAAAGTAAACACGAGTCTCCGTTTGGAAACAAGCGTGGAGGTTCAGTAGGAAGGGATGGCGCTCCTTGTTGGCAATCAAGAACACCCGCTTTTCCGACCTCGTACTCTCAACTTCATCATTCTCAATGATGAACTCCTTCTTTAGAACCTTAATAGCATACAGCTTCTTAGAAGCCTTTGTCTCCGCCAACATGACTTTCCCAAAATTGCCTTTTCCAAGAACCGCAAGGAAATTGAAATGATCCAATCCAATCTTCGTAGGCTTGCTAACTACCTGCTGGGGCTCAGGAGCAGGTGGTGGCGGTGGCGGCTGTTTTTCGGAAGGATAGGTGTGAGTAGGAGGTGCGACTTTCACTGGCGCTGGACTGGGTTGGCCATACGACTGTCTCTGATCGTACTGAGCAGCTTGTGGTTGCCCATAGCCGGAGGGAGCGGGCGGCATCTTCGGTGGCGCCGCAGGGGGCTGCTGCGGTATGGAAGTACGATGCTGTTGGTAGGGGTTATCGTATCCCTGCCCTTGTTGGTATGGAGAAGGAGAACTCGGCAATTCGTTGGCATGATGTTTGGTTTGAGTTGGCGACGTTGGAGCTCCCTGGTAAAAATCGGCAGGTTGTCTTGGAGGATAACCGGTTTGGCTCTGGACCGTGGAAGGGGGGCGTTGGCCAGCATGAGCTGCTGCCGCTACCGCAGTTGGGTCTGGAACACGATTCGGTCGCTGTTCGGGAGAGTAAGGCGCGGACTGTTGTGGGCGGGCTGGTGATGGCGCCGCTCCATACGCGACGTTAGCGGCGTTTACGGCAGTCGGAGATGAAGGAGTATAAGATTGAGTTCGCTGTGACAGCTGAGTTGGTTCCCCCTGCACGGAGTTCCGGGGGTCCAGATGAGATACGTAAGGGTCACTAGTAGGCCGTCCCGACAAAGGCGATGAAGGAGCCGGTGGGATATTAGTTCTCAGGTTCCGATCTGCCATACTCGGTCTCTGCCTTTTTGTTTTCTTTATCTCCCCCAGGATCTGATTGGCAACCTCCATAGACATTCCACAGAAGTCAGGAACCAAATGGGCACATTGCGAGTGACAAGTAAGGCCGCATTCTATCTAATATTAGCCAGGGAAGTCCCTCAAACCCCCAAAAGGGGAAATACCTGTACACTTCCTCGCATTCTTCTTGCCAACCGGCAGCATGTAACCGCAGTGGCAACACCAGTTTGCCCCCATATTGGTCATTGGTTCGAACCTGTGCGGGATACGATGGTTGAGCTTCTCCTCCTCGGGATCTGTTTCGGCGTTTGATTTTGAAATACACTTCGTGACCACCTTTGGGTAACACTTCTTATGGCAAGTATACTTGCAGTCTGAACACTGCATCCCGGCGGAATACTTGAGGAAGTCGCTACAAAGGGCACAACGCATGATGTTGTAGAACTGTTGCTGCACGAATTTATGGCCATACATCTCATGCACCTCTTCTTTGCGAGCACGAACAGCTCCCTTACGACCTAGTCCAAGATCGATCGGACGCTTATTCCTGTTATATTTGACTAGATAGAGTTAATGACGGAATCGCCTTAGACAATCTTAGAAGCTTACCAAAATTGAGGTTGAGGTGAATCTGCCCAACTGGCTCCAGAGCAAACCACGCATCGATACCCGCAGATCCACTCTGTGCTTGTGCTTGTCCGCTATTATTGACGTACATCCCAGCATTGCCTCCCCCAGCAGCAGCCGGGCCACCGAATCCCTGGTTGTAGTTGTAGGCACCCTCGCCAGGTCGGCCACCCCCACTATGTGCCATTTTGTCCGCACTCACCCAGCCAGAGCTCGAGATCTCCTGCTCAATCTTCTTCTTTCTTAGCTCTTCAGCAATATCAGAAATTCTTATCCACAATAAACCTATTGGCATATGGCTGTCCCCAGGTTTGTCGTAGACAGTCATTTCAATCTCGTTGGCTTTATCAACGTCGATATCGTGAGCTTCATCTAACCACTTGTCGTTCCTAGTGGACTTAGTGCGAACCCGGGCAACATCCTCCACCTTGATAACAACATATGTTTCCGGGCCCCGAGCGAAGCGCGATGTGGTGGCATGGTCTACATCTTTTACCGCCAAAACGCGAATAGTAAGGCGGCCGGTCAACGGGCGTCGAATATTAGGAGAGTTTATGCTGTCATCTATTAAAGTTAGGTCCCGTTCACTTTAATCCGAAAAAGAGAAAGAAACAGCTCAAAGCCTACCGTCTGCCTCATCCCCAAAGTCCATATCGACATGAAGATCCTCATATCTCTTCAGAGCCTGTTTCAACAACTGGATTTTTTGCCCACTGTCTGTATGTTTGCTCTCTGCGTCTTGTCTACTCTTGCGATCCCCCTCCATCTGATACAGTTTGATCATCTTCTCGATACCTTCCTTGTACTGTTTTTCAACACTGAGCTTGAATTCGAGCTGCGACAACATCAACTGAATTCTCGGACCAAGATGTGGGGTATCGTATTTGATTAAATCTACAACAAACTATCAATAAATCAAAGCGCACATGGACCAAAATGAGTATCATACCAAGTTTAGAGTAATTGGGCTTCGTCTTTGGCGCAGATCCCCCAGTGCCCTTGGCAAACGGCTTATTGGGAGGCAGCATTTGTGGTTTTTGATATCTTCCTCCATACGCTTCACCTATGGATAAGCATTATTCCCTAAACTCTAAAGGAAAGCTTGCGCACCTCCGTCACCAATGAGTATATTATCCACTCCATTAGTTATCACCATATTCTGTAATTCACTGTACCGCCCCTCCAGATAACTCAGGTTTCGCTGCGATTCCCGTATCTGATTGTCCAGCCTCTGCTGGACAGCAGCGTTGTCGGTAGATTGACGCATAGCCCGAGCACCGTTTATGAGGACCTTCTCCCTCTCTATCTTACGATAGACATCTTGGAGAAGTCTGTCAGCCATGTTTGCGGGAACCGAGGGTTGGCAGATCTGAGGTTTCCGCGCTAGTCGTGATCGAGCTCGAGTAGGTTGACCGGGGAGATATTCCGATGTCGAGCAGGAGAGTGTCAAGGCGTCACTGAGTGTATAGTGTGAAAAAGTGTACCAATCTAATGACGAATTCCGCTGCCCACTCAGCTATAGGAGCTCGTTGTTGAGATTTTTGCTTCTTGCTTAAAAAAAGAAAGAGAAGAAAAGGTCCTGAGAACAGAAGAAAAGAAAAAGAAGAAAAAAACCCCAGTTGATGAAAAGAAGGACCCCACAAAGTAAATGTAACCAAGAAGAAAGCTTCCGTCGATGAACACGAGAGACGCAGGGTGCAGGCGTCGCCGCTGAGTAGAGGGGGAAGAGGAGGGGTATCAGCTGTCAGAGTGGCCTTTGGTGGGGGTGTTGACGACGAGCGGAGTTGGGGTCAGGTTGTTGTTCAAGTCCTTCGGCTCGTAAACAACCAATCTACCCACGATAAGTAACCTATGTATACCTTCCCCTATTTCCCGCCCGACTTCACTTGTGATATGATATGATAGCAACCCACTCCCAGCTAACCAACTCCAGGAACGCGTATCCAACCCTATCGGCAGGAAGACACACTATCATAATATTATCACAGGAGCCAACTTCCCATGGCTAAAAATAACGTTATGCAATACGGAATATTCTATTATTTGGCATGAAAGGGTCACTCGGGATTCCACCCGTGACCAACTTTTCCATGGACAAAAAGAAAAAAATACCTTTCACAGCCACCACATATCATGGCTTTGTGTCCCGATATACAGCACCACCATTCCCAAATTTTTCCTGTGTATCCTCCGTTAACTATCGCCCGTGAATTCAGATATATGCCGATTTTGTTGGGTTCGCCCCTCAGCACCAATCTGCCGTAGAAGAGATCCTCAGTTACCCGGCTCTGAGGCCTCCCCCTCGCATAACAATGTCATTATCAAAATTCCCTCCGCATTTTAGCGTCCAAGGCGTTCCGTTAGAGGCTCAACTGAGTTTAATCATAGTAAGGATTGTCCAATGTGATATGATACTGTGGCAATCTGAAACTAAAACCAAACAGAACCGGTATCAGCAACAATCGGATCGTGTAAGCTATGACCTACTCGAGCATAATAATTGAGTGGGAAGCACTCCCATCCCGTGGGTATGATAAATTTACCATCGGGCGCAGCTTTAGGTAAAATCATCAGGAGTCACTCGATAATACAAACACCATAAAGAATGGGACAAACGAGTACTCGAGTAACTAAATTAGAAAAATTTCCATGCAAGATTCTATCCAGCATAGTCGAGGAAGCCCAAGACGGAAACGGAGTCAAAAAAATTGGGAAGGAAGCGGGGCGAGATGGGTAGGGAATGATGCACACTATGGAACCTCCAGAATTGTAGTATCATATCATGTAATGATACAAGCCACTGGCCACAAGGGCTGCGTGAACTCAGATAAATATGCCCTGCGGATCACTATCACTGCTGTTGGTGGTATCATCACCAAGATCCCTAAATTATGATACACATCACAATTTTACCCAGTGCCGGGGTATTCAACAACGGAGCTTAGGGTCTCAAAACAGACCCCAACACATGTAGCCCATACACAAGATACTGTATGATATGTTCAACAAAAATATGCGCGCTAGTATCATGCCAAAATTCCTAAATTGCATACCACGATTACACTTAGTATGAGGGGCATTAAAGGACGGTCAACTGCTCTGGGGGTTGCAGAGCATATACCGCTATTAAGAGGCAATTTTTTTGGTTATAAATGTTATCGCGTAATCATGCACAGATAACAAACACGACCTAAATTTAAGGCAGAAAGAAATATATGGGTGACGACGTATGGTCAACATAGGTGCTTCCAGAGCACATCATTTCAAAGTCTCGTCGAGTTCCAAGCACCGCTGAAGCCCGGGATTTAACAACGAAACTACCCCATTGATGCTGTATTTTTTTGAATGAGCCAACCCGTAGAGGTATTACAAAGACCTATACCGTACACTCGCATCCTTGCGAGATGATCGGTAACCCTTTCTTGAAATTAGATTGTAGGCTGCGTTATATCATAGTCCAAACAATTATGCAAGCCCACTTGCAAACAGCAAAAGCAACAACAAAGTAACCATATGCCATCACTCGGTAGCTAAAAGTAACGGCAAAGTAGCACATCGCACCCAATGGAGTATGGAACCACAACACTCAAAAGGCTAATTAAGGCAACTAGTCTTCAATCCCAAAGCCCATCCCAATGAAAAAAAAAACCCAAAAAAAACACCACATGCGTACCACCAAACCCCATAAAATGCAGAGCCCACGAAAGGAAGGAAACATAATGACAAAGGTAAATATGGTGAAGAGAAGCATCAGACAGGAAACAGGGTTTTAAAGCTTTACCCTGTCATTTGATGGATCTGCAATTCCTTGTTATCTCTCAAGCTCACCGTCGACTACATGCGATAGCTAAACTCACCAGCCATCCGCGTGATATTAGGAAGGGCACCTCCACCGCCCTGAGAAGATGAGTTTTGTGACCCATTGGAGCTTGAAGCTCCCCCAACAGGGCGTTGATCAACTGCCTGATGACGGGTGTTCATCAACCAGTGAATCTGCATGCGGATACCCCCAATTGCAGCTCTTAAACCGGCAACCTCTTCTTTCATCCTCAAGCTCTCATTCATCAGCAGCATTCCCTGCTGGATTTCCATCTCTCCTAGCGATGCGGTCAACCGTTCAAGATCGGAACGAAGATGCTCCTGTTCGGCAAGGAGCTGGATTGTATGTTCGTCAAAAGATGGTGTAGGAACCTCCGTGGGTGGCCTTGGGGGGATAAGGATATCGAGCCTCCTGCGAAGTGCTTTGTTCTCCAGCTCTAGCATTGCGAGACGATCCGCATATGCATGAAGTACCGGTCGAAGAGGAGTAAATGCACAAACTCTCATATGCTCTGATAGCTCCCTCCGAGCCCCCTTCCATGGGCATCCAACATCTGATGAATCACATAATATAATCGCTTCACCGCAAGTAGCTTCATGGGCTTTGATGTTGGGGTGAGCAAAATCTTGCGAGCAGTGACTGCATACGGCAATGATCCGTGGACACTCCGCTTCGTGACCCTAGATAGCAAACCGCACAACGAGTCACAACCACAACCTATCTTCTCCAACCGCCAGCTCCTAGTTTTAAGGAAATTTGGGGGAAGTAGAGAATAATAACTAACCTTCATGTCAAGCTTGCGACAGCTAAAAGAGCAAAAGGGGCACTCCACTAACTGGTGTAAACACCCCGACCCAGCATCTTTCCTCATTATCGTACCATCGCACCCCAAGCACTTTACTGCGACGAAAGCACAATCTTCCCTAAGATGCCCAGCTAGTAAGTGCCGTGCGCAGGTCATAGGACAGCCAAATCCCGAATTAGGACACAAAACCACCAAGTCATTGACCAAATTGGCAATCATGATGGGAGCCGCAGAAACATCCTCCAGCTTCAATGGTTTCCGGTCGACCGGACATGTCTTTGAAGTCTCAAGGGCCTCGGTAATGCAGCTAGAGCAAAAGGTGTGGCGACATTTTGTGTGAACGGGGTCTATTAGTGGGGAATGACAGATAGGGCAGCAAAGGTTATCATCAACCTCCGTAAGGTATGAGAGATTCCCCAGGTCAAGTGTATTCCCCGATACTGAATCAAGGGACATTGTGCCGTATTTTCTCCCAATTTTGACCTCGGAGGGTGTGTGGTGGTGGGGGAAGATGAACGCCAAGGGGTGTTAAGGTGGTTGAATTAGAAAGGGTTTGTGTGATGATTTTTTGTGGAGGTTTTTGTGGTGATGGTGGTGGTGCTGGTATAGGTTGGGTTCCAGGTGCCGGTAGTGACGAAAGAAGTTGTGGTTATGATAGTACGGTACTCGTACAGCAGCTGGCGGGGTCGGACAGGGGGGTGGAGAAGGGTGTGGAGAAGAGTGAGGTTTCTACTCGAGTAGATGTGCTGTGACTGCAAGCAATGGGGTCCTGCACTCCGTTTTTTATCGATAACCTTTTACTGGTGGTGTCTGATACCTTGTCCTCTGCGGGGACCCCGGAGCCCGGGAGAGAAAAAGAAAAAGGACCTGGCTTTGACTGATAAATGGCAGCTTTCCATGTGTTCAACCCATAAGATTCCCTACGTATCTTCCTCCTTGCTTAAAACTGCTCAGTTTTAGTAGTCTGTAGAGTATGATATATCATTGAAAACCAGTCCAATACCTGTATGCCGGAGAACAGCAAACTAGTCTATAACATTGTTGAAATGTGGAGAGGAGGAGCGCACCAAGGGACAATACACGTTTTGGGGAGAAAAACCTGGTTACTCGAGCATCACGAGGCCTATACCGTCGAGATCATTACAGCGTTATTTATAACTGGCTTCAAAAATTATGATATCTCCACACATTCTCCTACGATTCCCGTGAAGCTTTCTAAAGTCCGAGTGAAACAAAGATGGCCCGAATCATTGTATTGATTGAGACTGCCAGTACTCGAGTACTGACCGTTATGCCAGGATTAATAAAGCTTTTGGCGTCGCGGCTCTTACTCGTTCCCCCCCTCACCCAAGACATTTGATGCATCGGCGGAAGGCGACCAACCCCCGTCCAATACCGATACTCTCCTCACAGAAAAACATCTCATCCTGTCCCTCCACCCCCATATCCTACCAAAAAGCTTCAGCCCGAACCCCAGCTCCAGACCAAGCAGCAGCGAAAAGAGTACCGACCTCTTCACCCCCCGTTTACCCCCACACACGCATTTCAGTAGCCTATCTTTTTATCGCTCTCGTCCGTCCAGTCTCGATTCCCCTTTCTCTTGGTTCGCATTTCTCATGACAAGCACAACAGCCGATCGTCTCCAGCTCCTCCAAGAACACATCCGACTCTCTCTCATAGAACGCAAACGAGCTCTCTCCCTCAGGGCGGAGCCAGATACTCGGAATACACATGAAATATCACGTAGTCTCGATACTTTGCATCTTGGTATCGAGCAGTTAGAGAAGGAACAGCAGCAGCTCGAGGTTGCCGGGGATTTGTTCGTCCGACCTCATTCCACTATACCCCCCCCTTTTCATATTCCTTACTCTTGTACTACCGAGGCACCATGATCACTGATATCAAATATATTTGTTCGCCCTTAGATCATCTCAAGGCCTGAGGGAAAGGGAGGATGTTCTGATCAGGCTCCGCTCACAATACGATGATCTACACGCGCAATTCACATCGACAGACGCCGTGCCGTCGGGTCCCTTAGACCTATCCTTCCGACCCTCCTCGTCCGTGATAGCCCCTGGACGACGTAGTGAGAACCCCATAGACGAACATGAAGCCCGGGAAGCCCTTATGGGGAGCCGTGAGACACCTGGTGCCTTGCGAAAGGGTAATAAAACGGTTCGGTTTTCCGATACGTTAGTGAACACGGATGAGTTGGACAATCACCAAGTGTTGCAACTGCACCGAAGGGTCTTGGATGAACAGGATGAGAGCTTGGACCGATTGTCAGAGAGCATACGAAACCAGCGGGAACTCAGCATTCAGATAGGCGATGAACTCGACGGTCACGTGCAATTGTTGGACGAGGTAGACGTATTGGTTGATAGGCATCAGGACAGATTAAATGGGGCGAAGAAGAGGCTCAATAGTGTGGCCCAGACGGCAAAGGACCACGGTACGTGTTCTACATACACACCCTTGCCCGGGCCGAAACAAGTCTCAGCCTACTTCCAGAGATTTTACAAATGCTAAGCATGAGCACAGGAAGTCTGGTCGTCATTGCTATCCTCATTATTACCTTGATCCTACTCATTGTTGCAATCAAATAGTCTGATATTCCCCCTGCCCCCACCAAAGCCTAGAAGCTAACCCCATCACCAGATAAAACCCCGCTCATGATCAAATCCTTACTCTATTTTTATTTTTATTTATTTTATTTTCCTAGTCATTGGAGTTTCGGGCGGATGGTCTATCGTGGGAATTATGGGAATCAACTCGAATTGGATAATGGATTCGAGAAAGCCCAATAAATATATTCACTAGTCAGTGATGTTTTCATAATCTGTAACTTTTCCTCTTTTTTTTCTCTTCTCATCACCTTCTGTCACCTAGCCTACACCAACTTTATTTCTACCTTTCTCCGGGGGGTTTCTTTCTTCTTCTTTCTTTGCAGCCTATTGCCAGTATAAATGTTTCCTTCGTCTTCTTCCATAGTCTGTAGATTCCGATAAAATCAAAGCTTAAACACGTCATGCGTGTCAAACAAAGAAGTCATTCTTCAGACGCAAACCTTACTCAATCAATTTGACCCCCCCCGAATAAACAAAAAAGAGTCCACACGATGATGATGATTCATGATACGACACACCCGTCGGTCCACGGCAAGGTACCTGAGCTAGTAAGCAAGCAAGCAAGCAGCAGACTGACCAGCGGCAGCTGCACGGCAATCTGCTCTGCCCTGCCCAACTGCGGCGCATTGCAGTGACAACCGGGCCTTACTTTGTTTCTCACATGTCTCCCATTTCCACCACAGTAATAAATTTTTCTTCTTCCCCATCACAACGAACGTCAAATCATATTTATCACCCTTTCACCCCGGGTCGCTTCGCATACCGTACCGGTAGACTATGGCACTGCCGCAAGTTAAGTTAGTTACCCGTGCTACCGTAGAGTAAAAACAATGCAGCACACCTATATCGGTATAGTAGCCTCCCCCCACCACCCATCTTCTCTGCGCAGTATGATACAGCATGCACGAGGATCATACACGACGTAGACTACCTGACTCACGATCATTGACGCCTACCGTACTTGTAAAGTTACCGGTACCATGCCAGCCCCCCACAGGCAACCTCTTATCCCCAACCTTCCTCCTTCCTCAGGAAGGCAAACATCCGCCACTTTCATCCCGAGAAGATAAGGAAGAAAAAAAGAAGAAAAAAAGAGAGAACCTTAAACATTGTGTAACCGCTCATTATTTATTACTTTGCTTTTGTTTGCTCTGACTGTGGTTGGGGATATATTCGCAGGCGTTGTTGCATTTGCAGTTGCGGGCTTTTATTTAATAAATGTGTGTGTGCGTGTTTGCTCGGTAATATTTCGAGTGATTTTGTGTGAATAGGGTGTTGCCTGCGATGAGAGGAAGGCGTTTGTTGTTGTTGTTGTTATCACTGGGTTGTGTTGTGCATATGAGTGAGGCGGAGCTTGGTTTTTTTTTTTTTTTTTGATTTGTCTTGTTTGGTTGAGGCGAGTGAGAATTCGTACCGTATCATACAGTCCTGCATGGTATACCGGTATAGTGGTGAGGCGTGTTCTATGCGCCATGCTTCAACCTTACTTGCGGTTATGCTAGCGATTGGGGTACCGATATGCTCCTGTGAGGTGTCTCACTTCCACTATGCATATCAGGAGGTGAACGGTACAATTGATGGTTGGATGAGCTCCTTCACGCGATGTTTTCCAAATGCCAACTATCCGTATCATCATACATTACGGTACGGTACGTTTTCGATTGGCTCATCAATCTTCTTTTGAATTATGTATGATACGCCGGATAGGTTTAGTCAGTATAATTGAGAATTAATCGACCAAAATCTAAAGCGGGCAAGCGAACCTGCCTCGCAGTACGAGTACCGGTACTGTACTAGCACTGGTGTGATAAACGCAATGCAACTTTATGCACCCAAACCAATAACGGTGTGTGTAATATACCGGTACTCGAAATATTCATGCGTTCTCATTCAATTCGACACCCGCATTGTACATACCGGGTATCCCACAACCGCTTCCTTCCTCTCCCTTCCTTCATTCATCCCCAATCAAAGAAGAAGAAGGAAAAGAAGAAAACTGGCCATCGCCTACTTCCTCTACCCCTACTCCTTACCATCGCCCTTAGTTTCAAGTACCTTCTTCGTTGCTTTCTGCAGCTTTGCTATCTCCACTTCCGAAGCGTCGATTTCTCCACGGTAGGATTTGACCTATATGTGTATGCCCCATGTTACCACCACGGCCCATCACCATCTCCTGTGGGACGGATAGGGACATATGCATACGAAAGCCTCAGCATCAGAAGCGAGTTCCTCATGCCAGTGCGGGTATTCGGTTGAGCCCTTCGCGTGCTTTCGTAGAAGGCTTTGTTTGTTCTTTTCGAGGACCTGATGTTGCGGTCAGCATTGTTGGCGGGGGGGGGGGATTAGGAGTAGCAAACCTCAGGATCATTGTCATGCCTCGTGGCAGTCGACATAGACCTGCCGATACTACCAATCACCGTCCGTCCTAGAATTCTTGAGGGTCGGAGGAGGAGGAGTGCGGACATGTCTAATGGTGTAGTGAGTAGACGGGTGGGTGATATTAATATTATGGATGGGTTCTTCAAGTCGGATCTGAGGTGGGAAAAAAACTGATGACTGATTCAAAGGAGGAGAGAGGGAGAGAGAAAAGATAGCCATCCTCTCCCCCTACGAGCAATTTGAACAAAAAGTCACCCAGAAACACTTTTTATAAGAGACAAACAATCAAGTTGGGCAACGACGTCACACCTCACCGTTTTGTCCGGGGTCATTATGTCATTGTCTAATTTTCCCGCCAAGCCTTTTGTTCCTTTCCTAATACGAGTACTCCCAGCTCCCATCCCCCGCCTTTTCCCCGGCCAGGATAGACAGAAGCTGCATTTATCCTCTTCCATTCACCCTGTCCCGCACCGTGCGCTACAGTAGCGTAGGCTGGTCCAACTCAGCCACTGGTACGATACCGTTAGTCGACTGGCCGTCATCATTCATCCCCGGAACCAGCTCCAGCCATGTACGAGTATCATACTCGTACCATAAATCACGCTCTCAGCGTAACCGGTACTGGTTACGAAAGCATCCAGAATCTTTAAGCACTGTTTAAACCCGGAGAAACGCTAATATTAATATTCCCCACCGCCCGACACCTTTACAATACCTACCTACCCCCATCCGGCGATCCACCTAAATAAAAACCTCGACAACTTTCACAAATCATTAAATAAGCGACATCCTTTTCAACCTGCCATAGAGCCTTACTTAACTTACTCGAGCGCAGTTTACGACTTGCGGTTCCGGTATCATACATTTTTTGGTACTCGTTACAAGTACAAGTACCGGTACCCTCTGCAAGCCCTGATACAGTGATACAAGTACAGTTGCTCGTTCCTATGATGAATAAACAAATAAATATAAAACCACCCAAGCAAAACGGTGCAAAAAAAAAGAAAAAAGAAAAAAAAAAAGAAAAAACGCAACAACCCATTGTGCTCAAGTTAAATTTGGGCGTTTTTGCTTTCATCGTTTTATTTTATTTTTGGGCTTTTTTTTCACGGATTGGCGCCCAGCTTATTCCAGCTGGGCGCTTGCTCGCTTTCTTTGCTTGCCGGAAACGGAGTTCTGGGTTTGTGTGTGTGGTGGGTGTTTAAGGGGGGGAAGAAGAAGGGAAAAAAAAAAAAAAAAAAATTTTTTTCTTTTTATTTTTTTATTTTTATTTTTATTTTGATTGATTCGTTGTTGTTACTGAATTGTGCGATAATTTACGGATTGGATTGGAAACGGATTGGTCAATCAATAAACCCAAAGTTTAACGATCGAATCTGTGGTTATGATACTTGTATGGAGGGGTGATTAACTCGACTTATTATCCTTTTGCGGTTTTTATCATACTCACAATATCATACTTTTTACACAACACACAGGAGTTCCTCGCTCGCTACGAGTAGACTACCCTACCGCACGCAACCTGTAGGTTCGTTTCCTTCTTTTATGATAACTTCTACGGTAACTTAACGGTATTCCTATTCTTACATGATATCACGATCTCTCTCCATCCATCCATCTCTCTTAGACTACTTGAATATATATAATATATATATATTTACTCGTACTACAATACAAACCTCCGGCATGATCGGTGGTGGGTGGGGGTGTTCCTGCAATCTTTTTCTTTTCTTTCTTTCTTTTCTTTCTTTTTTTCTGTCCCATGTGTGTGTGATATGATGGGTACCGTAGATACTTGTATCATACCGGTACGAGTACTGTACTTTTCCACTGCAACGCCTTCTTCCCTGCTGCTGGTTACTCGTACCGTACCGTACTTGTAACTTGTATCTCGTACAGCCGTCCGTCCGTCCGTCCCATGCTTTTGCGGGTAGGCGAAAAGGAAAGGAAGGAGAAAAAAAAAAAGGGGGAAAGGAAAAGCTTTTCCATGCTACCGCAACTTTCTTTTTTTTTACACAACTACATTACTACCGTAGTACGAGTACTGTATGATACCCCATCGTGTGATTTTTTCTCACACCCACACGCACTCACGCACAAACTCGCCCAGCCCCATCGGTAGATTCTCGATCCCCTAGT